CTGATTTTGAATATATTTTTTTGTTGTATTTTACTAGAATCTCAGGGAATGTTTAGGTTTCTATGAACTACTGGTTCAAATATGACCTATCCGAATCGGAAATCGTTTGAGTTTGTTTAGGTTTCTATGAAATACTGATTCAAATACGACCTATCCTAATCGGAAATTGCTCGAGTTTGATAGAGTGAGGAGGGTGACCATTCATGGCCAAGAACCCTATAAACATCCTAGTCTTCTGATTTTCTAGTATTTCTTAAATTCTTATGTTAGCTATTTCCTGTTCCAACTTCAGATTCACTCTGGTCGGACCAGATGAACCAAAATTTAACAGTGCGAATTGGGACCCGATTTTGATTCTTGAATCAGTGTGGTGAACTACTTTGTGCAGAGTACTAAAATGCCAAGGGTGGCCAACTAAAACCCATTGTTTCAATTCTACAATTCCATAAGAACATACAATTTTGTTATGTATTGAAAAAATTACAATAGGATACACTACAGGAAGAAGTGGAAACATCAAATCAACTTCATATAATTGATCATTCATCATGTCCATAGGGAGACAAAACAACGTATTTTTTTTAGGTAATCAGTGTGGAAGACAGGCCCCTACCATTTTTTTCATATCGATTAGAGAGTTAGTTTTTTTTTTACAGTGTTAGTCGGTGGTATCAGCAGGATTGGAAACTACATTGTGTAAAGATTTTTACCGGCTATTAATTATTATTGTGTATAGCATGCCGGGAGCATACTACATTAACTCCCTTGGGCAAAAGAGCTACTTGGGAGATTTTTTTTATTTTTATCTGAAATTTTGGATCTATCTAAGAATCACGATTATTTTTAAAAATGAAAAATGAATTATGAGTGTTGAAACACTTATATCATGCTCCAAAGATTGGGCTGCCCCCTGTCTAATACTTTTGGAATTAATTATTTATATCATTTATATAGGAAATTTACGCAGTGCTAGCATGGTTTTCTACACATTGTTTGTTCCTTCAACTCCTGATGCCTACAACGCATGGTTGCAAGAAAAAATTCTTTTTGATGTCCTTTGAGCATAGGAAGGGCACCTCTAAACCATTCCAATGTTAAAACCTATGTGAGTTGCTAACAAACAGTAAGATATTCAAAAAACAGCACAAATTTGTATGATATAAAAATCTAATGTTTAGAAACATGGCTGGGCTTGTGCTCAGGCCTCAGGCCCTGCCCGAGTTGAGTAGCTCGGGCAAGTTCAAGTGGACTCGCCTTTTCCTGCATTCCAAAAAATGCAAAAAACTTACTCAAAATAATTAAAAATCAGTAAAAAGGAAAAGACGTTACACACACCATTAAAGGCCCTTATCAGAAAGAAGTAGATTACAAAAACTTGATTTATAGCTTAGAACAGTTCAGACAAATCCAAAGAAAAAAGAAAATTAGAGTATATAAAAAGAAAATTTCATAAATCAACATAAAAAAAAGAGCACATTATATAGAAACATAATTACATAACATTTATTAGATTTGCTAGCAATTTTTTATTTTTTTTAAGTAATTTTAACAAATCCAAGTTTGTTTAAGAACACCTTGGCAGGGGCCCAATTACTAGGCCTAATAGACTCAGCCAAAAATTTTGGAGAGTATTTTGCCTCACTTGTCGAATCCCACCCTACTTTGTAGACAATTGCTTTTCCATTACTTTATTCCCCCTGCGCCCCAAACATCAGATATCAATAAGGACCTCTGGGGAGCATTTATCCATCAAAGTTAGTGAAAAGCGTATACAAATCATCCTTATCCCATATCATCCAATGATTTTTCCTACATAGTATTTTGTGTGGACACATCCGTGCCTAGCATATCTCTTAGTCAAGGTTGGCAAGGAGGTCGGTTCAACCCAATGGGTCAAGCCGATTGGAGACCGGGTCTAGGACCCGGAGGTTGTACGTAGCAGGTTGGACCATGGTGTAGACTCTTGTGTGAAAAGCTAAACTGATCTTACTTATAGGGCTAAGGACAAAAAATTCCATGGTTGAGAGTGTGTATCAATATATTAATGGGTTATATTAGGATACTCACACTACAACGCATTTTTTAGTTATACTTAATAAATTTTAGACACTTATATACCCTTGTTTTGTACATTGATCTTTTTTTAGTAAGGGCATTTTTTATCATTAGGAAGATGTGACATCATCTACAGGGGGTGTGATATCACCTACATGGAGTACACAAGTGGCATTAATGCTCCATGCGGGTGATGTCACAACCCGAGGTAGATCATATCGCACCCCTCCTAATTACCAAAAATATATTTACTAGAAAATTTTATGTACATAACAGGGGTATATAAATATCCAAAATTTGTTCAGTACAATGATAGATTACTTGATAGTGTGAGCTCTTTCAGGTCTCGAATCCCTAATTCCAAATATTTTTTTTCATTGGGTAATATATCAACCTAACATAACCCTTATATATAAAATAAAAGTTTATTTTTTATCAGACCTAAACCCATGCTGGCAAGGTCCAATGTCCTGGACCCCACCTAGGTATGGATTCAGTATGGGTTCAACTAGGAGTCAAACAAGAACCCGACCCCTTTACACCCCTACTCTCTCGCTCTCCTCCTAATTTCTCACTTTCTCCTTCTCCTAATTTTTCACTTTTTTGGGTCCACAGGAGTTGGGATCGTAGTAATTCCATATGCATTATCACAAGGTGGCTGGGCATGCTTGGCACTTCTTGTGCTATTGGGGATCATCTTCTATTACACAGGCCTACTCCTTCAGCGTTGCATAAGCATGGACCCTCACATCAAATGCTATCCAGACATAGGCCATCTTGCCTTTGGTCCCAAAGGCAAAATCGTCATCTCTACATTTATCTATCTTCAACTATTCTTACTTGACATAGGTTTTTTGATATTAGTAGGTGACAGTTTAGCTAAATTGTTCCCTAACTTTGGCTACAAAATTGGGGGATGGAGAATAGAAGGAAGCAAGGCATTTGTTATTTTATCCGCCATGGTTGTTCTCCCTACTACTTGGCTAAAAAGCTTGGGGAGATTGGCCTATGTGTCAATAACCGGTGTTTTTGCTTGTGTGGTGGTGATGGGTGCAGTTATATGGGTTGGCCTATGTGGTGGGGTTGGGATTCATGAGAAAGGAAGCCCTCTAAATTTAAGTGGCATACCAGTGGCAGCTAGCATTTATGCTTTGTGTTTCACTGGGCATGGTGTACTCCCTACCATCATTGGGTCCATGAAAGATAGGAGCAAGGGTTCAAAGGTATGTATATAAATTTTGTCTTGAAATCAATTATCAATGCCTTGAATATAAGGGTGGCAATAGCCCGCTTTAGGCTGGGCCATGGCTCACGTGAGCCGTACGCTAGACCAGGCAAGGCCTATTGATGGGGTTGAGCCATGCCGGGACCCACGCAAGGCCTATTGATGGGGTTGAGCCAGGCCGGGTTTAGTGAGTATTATTTATCTATTTCTTAATTCATTAGGATAAGTAAAGAAATGGTAGCCCCAGGTTGGGCATTCATTAGGAAAAGTAAAGAAATGGTCCTGTGCCCAGGCCGGCCCAAACACCATTCCCCTTTCCTGTGCCCAGACCGGCCCAAATACCATGCTTAGATTTTTAGGCCTACCATGCTTAGATTTTTAGGCCTGGGCCTACAGTCCACTAAACTTAGTGGCTCAAGTACGTGGCCTGGGCCTTGGCAGTCCACTAAACTAATATACTATTATATTATTATGTACGATACATGCTGTCTCTATCGTTACCCATACTCAAGTCTGCCATAGTTCACTCATGCAGAAAAATGGCTTATCTTTGGCATCTATTGTGATGTACAATTCCTGTTGAAAAAAGATTTACAAACCTGTTTTGTTTCTCCTGAAGTCCATTTCAGTAATGGCTCTCATGGTTGCCACAATGAGGTTTCGTGTTCGAAACCATCCTACCGCAGTCCATGATATATATTAACTGGATTTTAGAAGATCCTAATCCAGGAATTTTTGTGTTTTTTGGTTGCAGGTACTGACCTTTTCCTTCATCACTTGTGTCGTGGCTTATGCACTGATGTCGATATTCAGTTACTTAATGTTTGGGGACCAAATAAAATCGCAAATTACTCTAAATCTCCCTGTTAAATATTTTAGTTCCAAGATTGCAATTTATGTTGTTGTTATACTTCCATTATCAAAATATGCACTAGCCATGGCTCCTGTCACAGCTGCCATCGAAGAGATATTTCCCCTTTGCAAGAAGTGTGCAGTGAGTCTATCATTGAGGACGATGATGGTGGCTATCACAGTCATAGTTGCTCTAATATTTCCATTTTTTGGGTCCATGATGGCGTTTATTGGATCATTTCTTGGCAGCACCATTGCTCTAATTCTACCATGTATTTGTTACCTGAAGATCTTTGAGGGCACAAAGAGTGGCAGAATAGAGAAAGTCATAGTGATGGGGATTTTAATGATAGGTTTTTCTATTGCAACTCTTGGGACGTATTTCAATGTCAAGCGCATTATGCAACAAATGTAAATTCTTGATGTGATAATTCATGTGATGTTGATAATTGCTAGAGTAAATTAAAAGTTTTGTCTTTTCAGCATAAACAAAATTGAAGTTAGCATTAATGTTCCCAAACTTGGGCGGTTCAACGTGGAGCCGGCCGGTCAACCGGAACCGGGCTCTAGCCGATGTGGTTTTGGCCAGTTTCGGTGGTTCGAACGGGAATTTAAAAAAATATATAAAATTAATATAAAATCCTAAAAAATAAGAGATTTATTTGTAATGTATTTTTATCATTTTAGAAAATATTGAAAGTGTTTTGGTCATGAATACTTATTTATACATTTATACAATTTTCCCATCTTTTTGAAAAATTTCAAAAATACCTATCGGGCAAGACTCGATTTTTTGAAATCCATTCTTTTCACTAATTTTCAACTTCATTTGGATGTGCTTTGTCTAATTATGTTTTAAATATTTTTTCATATTGTTTTGTGTTTTTTAATTTTTTTTAATACTTTTTGATTTACCAGGACCAGCTTGATTGGGCCAGTTGAACTGGCATGTTTACCTGTTACTCGGAATCGGCTTAGGCCGGTTCGCTTTTTCGAGCACTGGTTACCTTCATGTATGAATTCATTTTAGCCTTGTGTGTTTCCTAAACCTATTTTATCGTGACACTCCATTCCTACTACTGCTCAAAGAATAAGAGGAGCTAGTTGAATACATTGTGTACAACACCTTAGCATCTCATTATAGAGGATAATGCTAGTTTTCTCTAAAGGGGGAGATACTTCAAAAATTTTGATGCAGGATAATAATGTATTCATCCTTAGTGGCAACCGTTCATTATTGTTTTTCTGGTTTGACTGGACGAGTGGACCATGTTTTCGAGAAATCTATTTTCAACCTAATTATAAAGGAAAATTGTTTCATGAGGGCTGGACAGCATGACTACATATGCGGTTCAAAAAGTGTAAAGCATCCACATCTTAAAAATGGATGCACGTATGAATTTAATCTAGAAACAGTGGAACCTTACTGTCCAAATATTTTCTTACTGGAATTATTATTTTTAGTTTTTAAATTTACTTATTTTTTCATATTCATGATCTCCATGTTAGATATTGCAAGTCTCTAAAAATTAAGTGAAATCACCTATGTGGAGTACACTAGTGGCATTAATGCTCCATGCGGGTGATGTCACAACCCTAGATAGATCATATCGCACCCCTCCTAATGACCGAAAATACCGTTACTACAAGGTCTATGTACAAAATATGGGGTATATAAATATCTAAAATTTGTTGAGTACAATTCTAAATATT